TAGCATTTATAGAACAATCGGCACAGTCCAGCGTCGAGCGGCCTATTTGGTGGAATATAAAAACAACATTAATAATGATAGTAGTGCTAGTAATGATAATCTTCTAAAAAATACGAGTTATTTGGCGAAAATGCAATGTTTCACTAAAGTATCAATTTTAGAAAATTTATTGGTAACAATTATGGAATGCCATGTGTAAATTAAGAAAACAAAATCTTAACTAATCCCGTAATTTTACAGTGTGCACAAGTTTAGTATTAAAGATAAAATCAAACTATTTTAAAGGTATTTACATGACTAATTTTATCGTAGTTACTTCATGTAATTTACGAGAAAAACTTACCCAGCCCAACATAGGTACACGTTTTCCCGTCACCACGATAAGCCGCCATGCATTCGCACTGAAAAATGTCCTTATTTTCGGTTTCTAGCAATAATACAATTAATAATTTAATTTGCCCTGTCTCAAATTTTAAAAATGACACCGTTGTTAAAACCTTCTAAAAATTTTTAGACGCAAAACCTATAATTTGTATAAAAATCAGAAAAATATCGATTTTTCGGCCAGCCTGGGTAGATTTGGGTCAAAATTTCTAATTCAAAGAATTTTTTAAATTTCCTAAGTGCATTCACTTGAAATAACTGAAATTAGACTAAACATCTTAAAAATTAAAACCAATAAAGTCACACTCAAGGAATCATAAATTTGTAAAATTTTTGATTACCCGACCTATCCGAAACATTTTTTATTCTCTCCCATATTAATAATTCTCTGGTCTACCTGATAGTCCCCAATTCGATTCGTGCACCACGCATTTTTATCGCAAGTGGCCGTGTACCCGCGGCACTCATCGATATCTGCAAAAATATAATTAAAATCGAAGGGTTCCCGGCCTGTTTGCAATTTGATGTTTCATGAAAAAAGCTAATCCAAACGGAAATAGTCATTTCGATACGCTGGGCCGATTGTTTTAAAGCCTGTAAATCTTTTTAAATCCTTAAATCTTTAAATTCTCTTAAATCTTAAAAGTCTCTGGAATACAACTGGCGTGTTTGAAATTTAATGTTTCATGAAAAAAGCTAATTCAAACGGAAGTATTCTTGTCAATATCGAGAAAATTTTCGAAATCTCGCAAAAAAAAGATTAAAATTACAAGTTTCATCGCAAACCATCACTAAAATAAGAATCCGGCGAACAATCACAGGTCGTTGCAGACCTCGAAGATATCCTACTATATATAAAAAAATAGTGTCTGTGTGTGTGTGTGTGTGTGTATGACACTTTGCATGCAACTTCCGTCAGCGTGTCCGGAGGATATCTCAAGAGGGAGAGGGCGTAAGGAGGTGTTTGATACGTCATTAGATGCGTAATGGGCTGTAGATGACTGCACACACATCAGATTTTGTAAAATATGTTGTTTTCGACATTAAAATTAAGTTTTTCGTAAAAATTCGGCCGCCCACTTTGTTAGGAGAAAATTAGCATACGCCGAAGTTGCAGTAGCCTATATAAAGGCCCCAAGGGCTCATTTTTCTTTTTTTTTGTCATCGGAATTGAGGCACAATTATGCAAAATAAAGAACCTCATAGGATTAGACGGGGGCCAGGGTTGAAAAGTCGCGAAGCGAAGCGAAGAAGAAGAATTTCATGGGGGACAAAATTGCCATAGTAGAATGAAGAGTTTCAGCGATGAATAGGGGGTAATATAAGGGTACGATACAGCAATTTCATGAGCATACCGATATGTTTATTTTTCTCAGCTGATATGTTTTTTTTTCTTTTAATCTGTTATTAGCCCGTTAAATTAGAAAATGTTTCACAAAAATAGCATCGCAATCGCAAATGCACCGCACGATTTATTTAATTCGGTGTAGACAGCAATTTATTTATCTGTTATTATGTTTATCTAATAATTTCTCTTGTTTTATGATGCCAGCTATGGCCTTGAAATTATTCATGTTTGACAAAAAAACCCGACTAAAAAATTACACGCCAATTTTTAATACGATTTGTTGGTGCTGGTAATTTATTTAGAGATTGATCGCCAATAAAACAAGATGTTTTACAGATCAACATAGATTAATTGGTAACTCCATGCGATAATTCGTTTGACTATATTGTCCCAATTTCGCCTTTAATTCATTCAAATTTCACAAAAAAACCTATCAAAATCAGAGAAATATATATTTAATTTCTTTAGACCATGCACATAAAAAAATTAAAAAGAAATGTCGCCTATAAAAATGAAATAAGCAGAGGCACGATATAGTAATTCTGTCTGTTCCTAAATCTTTAATTTTTCAGAATAAAACTATAAATAGCCTAAATCTTAGATTGTTTAATACGGATAATATTGCTTAAAGCAGCCAAAACTCAAATGTTTAGTCGTCAAATATGAATGATTTCAAAATCAATGCTGCAATCGAAGCATGTCAATCTCGCACAGGTTTTTCCTTATAGGTTTTATTTTTCTTCTTCTAATTTCGCGTGTTAAATTATGAATGTGTCACAGAAGCCTATTAAAAAATTAAAAAGCAGTGTATTTAATATATTTATCGATAGATACTAATATTTAACAATGCTTGGGCGGGTACAAATATTGCGCTCGATTTAACATATTTTTTTATGTCTGTTGTTCTAGATTCGCCTTTTTCAGTAATTATACATTACATTATACATGTTACCCAAAAAAAACCTATCAAAATGACGGATATTTATATTGAATATTTCTAGACACGCTGCCAGGAAAATTGAAAAATTAAATGTGTTTTCGATAAAGATGAAATAAGCAGAAACGCTATTGAATAATTTGATCAGGTAAATAAAAATGTCTGTATTTTTTTTATCATATTTCTTTTTTTGTTTTCAATTTCGCCGTTAAACATTCATGTTTCAGAAAAAACCCTTCAAAATTACAGAAATATATACGTAATTGAATCCGAGATGGCGCCTAGAAAAAATTAAAACTAAATTTTTTTACCGATGAATACGAAAGGATCGGAAACTCCATTTAAAAATTTTATTAGGTAATACAAAATTTCGACCGTTTTATCATATTTCATTGATCTCTGACTTCAATTTCCCTGATTAATCATGTCAATCATGTTTCACAAAAAACTGCTAAAATGATAGTTCCAAATATTTTTTTGAGAAATTACACACAAAAAATTAAAAATTAAAGGTGTTACCGGCGAATATGAAAGAATCGGAAACCCCATTTAAAAATTAATTATAGTTAATTCATCTAGAAATACTGCCAGAAAAAAATAAATGTTTGACCGGTGAATCTGAAAGAATCGGAAATTCAACCAATAATATTCTTCAATTATGTTATCGAAATCTGGCACTCACCAACACATTCCCCATGCATATTCTTCTCGTATCCGATGCGGCACTCGCACGTGTAGTTGTACTTTCCGTGACTTTTACAGTAGGACGTGCGCAGGTCGCAGTCATTGCAGGCTGTAAAATATATATAAAAAATCGAAAATAACGAATTAAGAAATTTTTCGCCAAATTTTTCGGCCAGCGAATTTGCGGAATTAAAAAAAATAAGTTTCGCGTGAAATCATCTACTGGCTATTTATCCCAACCTTATTCATGCAGCGTTTAGAATTATATACATCTTAACCATTTTAAAAGGATTTCTGGATATTTTTTGTGTATTTTCAGAGCCCTTGAGCTAAGCAGGAGGCACAAAAATTAATGCACAAAAGAACGCAGAAAACCTGTTTCATCGAAAGCCGGATAAAAGTGGGTGTAAATTTTTAAATGTAAATTTTTTTTGGGTGTAAATTTTTAAATGTAAAAATTGGAAATTTTTCTAACCATACTATCGATTTAATTATACGATTTTCTGTCCGTAATATTTTCTGCTCGTTTGCCTTGGCTGACCGAGAGATGAGCTGAAAAAGAACTGTGTTTCAAATTTTCTCAGATTTAACGTAAATTCCTAGTTATTAATAGATCGCTCCTGAGGTCTCAAAAACTTTGCCATGCGAGGAATCCTAGCATGGCTTTTTCATGTTTCAAATTTGTCGCAATTTAGCGTAAATTCCTGCTTCTTAGTTTCTCTTGTTGCGTGTTAATTTTTAAGTTTTGGGTAAGAGTTTCCTTGACCTCCCCCTCAGCCGAAGGGTCTCAAAGCTTTCGGTATTTTCGCTATTTTTGTCGGGATTTTTGCAACGCCATTCGATAGAGCGTCGAAAAATATACTAAGGGTTTTAATTTGGGCTTACAAAAATGTACAATAAAGAAGTTATAGCAAAAAGATTCCGGCTGGGGGAGCAAAGTTGCCCGTAGTTACCTTAATGGCACCCAAAAATCAATTTAAAAAATAATGTTTCGAATTGTTCCAAATTTAGCGGCAATTTCTTGGCAATAATTCCTGGACCAACGACTGTTAATTGGTAGTTATGCAACGCCCGCAATAAACTCGTATAAAAAATCGCTAAAAAAGAAAAGATATGTCAGATCGCAATCATAGATCAATCACGTGCAAGTTATTTAATGCCTTCCAGAATCTGGCGGAACATCCTAAAAAATGCTGTCTTTCCCTAATATTCACTGCTCGCTTGGCTTTGCCGAGAAATGAACTCAAAAACTATGTTTCGAATTTTTCTATATTTGGAGCCAATTTTTGGCGAAGTAATATCACCTTCCTAGCTCTTGGATATCCGTTTGAAACCGGGGAAATAATTTTTCGAAAATGTTGTTTCAAATTTTTTGGAATGGGACGCGATTTTCTAACTGGTTAATAGACATTTTCAAAATGATTGCTCTTAATATGAGACCCGGGCAAAAGGTTACATAAAAAAATTGCTAACAATAAAAATATGTTTCAAATAGCGGTCGTATTGAAATGGCCTGAAAATATTTCATTGCAGTCATTGAATCTCTCCGGCTCGGCTCGTTTGCATATTTTTTTGTTTGTAAACCAAGAACTGGATTTTCAAAATAAATGTTTTAAATCTTTCCAAACTGAACGGGAATTTTAGTTAAACAATTCGTTGGCGATCCCGTACCCGTTTCAACATACCAATCTGGGGCGACAACCGCTGGGCGCACACTTTTTGGCAGAGATGCAGCGAGTAGAATTTGTTGTCGTTCCCGCCGCAGCCGTGGTAGAAGAACTTCTCACATTCACCAGAATCCGAATTGAACCAATACCTGAAGAGTGAGGGCAGGCTAGCAGAGATCATTTGGGATTGGGCAGCATTTTAGATTTAACTAGACCTATATCCTTGTATACAGGGTGTCCCAATAAAAAAGGTCACGCTGGCATTTTGCTATTTCAAATCCAACCGACTTGAAATTTTGCACAGAGGTGCGGAAGGGAATTTAAAATGTTCACAGAAACTTTCAGCCCGATCGGTACAGTAGTTTTCGAGTCATTGTAAAAATACTGTTTCTCCCCACACTTTTGCTTCATTTTTTTCGGCTATCTTTTTGGACTTTGCATCAATTAACATAAATTTCCGGCTCTAAATCCCTCATTCTTCTTAACATCGGCGTCGTTAGCCCTTGTTAAAAAATACTTAAATAGCCTATTTTCGAGCCGAATTTTGCGAAATAAAAAAAATCCTAGGATAAAAAAGGGTCGGCGCTTCATTTTCTCCATACATTCCAGGGTTCAATTCCGGCGGAATCCAGGTGAAAAACGTAAAATAAAGTTTATTTTTGCTATAACTCGAAAACTACTGTACCGATCGGGCTGAAAGTTTCTGTGAACATTTTAAATTCCCTTCCGCACCTCTGTGCAAAGTTTCAAGTCGATCGGATTTGAAATAGTAAAATGCCAGCGTGACCTTTTTTATTGGGACACCCCTGTAGATCTTCTTAAGTTTTAGTGCAAAGATCTCAATGTAAATGCAAATAAAGTTAAAATGAATTCAAATGTGATCAGAAACAGCAGAATTTCCATAAATTAACTGCGGCAAAGTTTCTGTTATTGTATGCACAAATTTCTTGACAACTCTAAGAAGCGATGAAACATCTTTTCGCCAATTTTTTTCTGGCTAGTGAGAAACTTTCAACACAGGTTTTTATATCCAAAAAAAAAGTTATTTTATATCATCTACATTAAACTAAGATTTATTAATTTAGAAATGACGTCTTTATAGTTTATAAAATTTTGGTTTGCGATAGGAGACAGAACAGACGATTAACGAATAACCATAGGGCCCGAACCTTGCCCTGCGTTGAAAGATTTTTTCGCCATTGGGTTGAGCCGGCGGCGTTGAGATTTTTGATACATTTATATTAATTGTTTTTCTCGAATACTAAATTCAATGATCTTATATATCTATTTGTCTATCTTAAATTAAAGTTTATTATTAAAATTTCCATTTTATGCTATTTTTAGTATACAATTTTTATTCCCTAATTAAAAATCCCCTTACCACCACTGCCCTTTCCGGTCGTCGGGACAATGGCCGTGGTCCACCTCGAGTAGGCATAAATCTAAAAAATTCAGGAATTCATCTTTTTTTTTTGTTTCGATTTTATTCTGGATTTTTTCTAGCAACGATCCAATCAAAACCTAATTCAAAAATCCCCATAGTGTGTTAGTGAAACATTTGAATTTTTAAAAATTTTTGCCTGTAATTCCCAGAGAAATCCCAGAGAGATCGCAATTTTTTGCTAATCAAATTTCGGAGCTTTTGCATTATCGGGGGGGGGGCTATCTAAATTTTCTCTAACGCCTCGAGGAATGCTTCCTAATTGAACTGTTCTTATTTTAATAGCATTTTTAGTAAAATTGAGCTAGATTCCGGCTATAAAAGCTATTTCAAAAGCTTATAGAACCCTGAAATGCTCGAAATCAACCATTTTATCGAAAAATCAACATTTTTTCCAATTTTTCTGGATAAAAGTGGTAAAGTTCATACGTTTAGAAAGTTTCAAAATGAGTTTCAAAGATAGCTCCTTATTTGTATTGAAAAAGTTGGATTCGAGGAAAAAAGTGGGCCATGACGATTCCAAACGACATAGTGCTATTGGAAAAATTCAGCAAAGTAGCAAATTTTCCGAAACATTTTTTTACCGAAATAAAATTGTGGTTTTGTATGACTTTTATTTTCGTCTCCATGTTTCGATTTTCAATGCTGAATTTTTTAGAATCGCAAAAAGCTCCGAATCACCAAGACAAAAATAAGCATATCTGCCATCTTGCCGAAACATATTTTTGCAGCGTCGACTTTTTGAAATTTTAAATTTTGTCCTTGCACTACCAGGCACGGCCACCGGGTTGAACAGCTTGTAGCGGCACATTTTCAGGCACTCCTGCTTTGTGGTAAATCTAGAAGAAAATGGATTTTTTTAATCGTTTAAATTTGCCTATTTTTGGTGCCTAGACAGCCTCCATAGTGGAATTCCTTGCATTGGCCGTCCGCCTCATCCCAGAACCATTTTATCTGAAAGAAACATGATTTTTCTCAAAGAATCTCTGATACTTTGTCCCCACTCTCTCTCTCTCTCTCTCTCTCTCTCTCTCTCTCTCTCTCTCTCGCTCTCTCTCTCTCTCTGTGACTCTCCCTTACTCTCTGCATTCCTCAAGAATCTCTGCTAGCCTGCCCGAAAATGTCTTACCTGAAAAGTTTGACAGGGTCCCTGATCGACCGGCTCCAAGCAGCGATCTTCTGAAAAAAAATGTTTATGAAAATATACCCGTTAAATACGAAGCCCTTTTCTTAATTGTGCCGTTTTTCGAAGGCTTCGAATCATTTAAAATCAACAAAAATAGAACAAAAAAATTTGTTATTTCATAAAATTACCGGGAGTCTCGGCTCTCGTGTTTGGCAGTACCGTTAGAATCGAAAACAGCAAGATGACCCATTTTTCCAGCATTTTTCAACCCCGAAAAATCGCCAATGCCTGGAATCCTGGAATCCTGTTGCAGAATAGTTTTTTGGGCGAGGATTTGACAGCTTGGCGCCCAAAAATGGGCCCCAAGCCATTTGCGAGGACAGGGCCCATCGTTTAATTCGTAATGCATGCATGGATTGTCAGAAGGAGAAAATGGCCGCCCAGATATCTTCATTGCATTTTTGGGGGCCCGAAGGGGCCCCCAAAAATGTCTCCATAGGGGGAAATGATAAACAGGGGGGTTTCCCAAATGGTCTCTGCTAGCTGTTTTCTAAACTTTGCTAAATTCTATTGCTTAAAGGGTGTCTCGTCACTTGCCTAAATTTATTTTCAGGCTTCCCGAAAAGAAATGTTGTGTTTCAAAAAAATACTTGCTTGGCCATTGGGCAAAAAGTTAATGTTAGTTACAAAAATAGTTATTTAGTTGAATTAAATTCATTTAGTCTTTAGTTCCGTTTTAATTTTAATGTTTAGGTGATGGGCCGAAAAATTTCTATTTCCGTATTTGAATCAAAATTTTTGGTTTTTGTTTAGGAAGAGCAAAAACCGTTGGGAAAGCCTTTCTCTATTAAGATTTCACAAAATGGACCCTACGAAAAAGTTTTTCTCACCCGGAAATTCGAGATGTTTAGTATGGATAAATACTGAGCACGTACGGGTGGCGAATTAAGGGCAGCCTCTTGTGGCGCGCTAGCACAATTTTTCCGAAACATTAAAATTTCAGAAAATTAGTACGTGTCTCACGGCAGTATTTATCATTAAAATGGCCTGAAAATAAAAATCGGTAAAAAAAATACTGGACTCTTTTGGTTTCCTGGATGCCCAATTGGCATTTGAACGCCTCGTGAACAATGTCGTATATGGCTAGTGTTTTTCTTTTGAAAGCCGCTCAAAATGTTCCCTATCTCTGTTTCTCTCTCTCTCTCTCTCTCTCTCTCTCTGCCGCCGTATCCAAATTGTTTCTGCTAGCTTGCCGTGACCAGTGCTCGAGTGCCGAAAATTAATGTTCCAGAAATCTTCGTAGTTCGCTCTATTTTCTTACCACAATAGTGTCCGACAATCATTAGCCTCGTATAAACCCGAAGCGTTCTCAATTCAATTCATCATTTTTGATCTTCCCCAGGGTTCTCTGCTAGTTTGCCCCAAACTTTCTCACAAAAGACGTAACGAAACGGTTCGCAAGAATGTTCAAAAACCCCCAGCCTTGCGCGATTTTTCTTAGACATTTGGAGACCAAAGCAGCTGTATGATTCCCTTCACTCCATTAAATCAACCAAATATAATAACCTATTTATTCAGAGCCGAATGCCGCGGATTCCACGCGAATGCTGTGTACAGTGAGAAAAAGGGAAAGCACAAATAAAACACTCAAACAGAGCGAAAGAGAGGACAATTATTGCGTAAAAGATCGAGGGGAAAAGAACAATCAATAATTTATTTTTGAAAAAATCGATAAAGCCGTATAATGAGGTAACGGGGGGGAATAAGCCCTGAAATTCACCCGCGAGGATGATGATGTACTTGCAGCGCGTGATGAGCGTCTCCTTGCAGCGGCCGAGGGTGGCGCAACGACTGCATCCCGTACTTCATCGCCAGCTTGGCCTGAAAACCAAAATAAATATTTCTGAAAGAAATTGTTAGCTTGCCCTCCCCTCTCTCTCTGATCCCAGATCACTCTGCCAGCCTGCCCTCAAAAGTACACTTTCGGCAGCTTGTCCCTCAGCTCTGGCTTTCGATACCACATACCGCCATCCCGTCCAGCTTTGGTTTTCTTTCTAAAAAGAAATAAAAGTTTGAAAATTAAGTTTCTATCATATTCTTAAATGTAAGGTTTTAAAAGCGCCTATTAGAATCAATCAATTTCAAAAATAAAATACCGCGGATCTCATCTCGCGCTGTCGAATCTTGTCGGCCTATGGCTGAGGTTGCGGGCGTGGAGGAACGTCTCGCGCTCCGCAGCAGATCGTTGTCAGATCCTGAAAACAAAAACGTTATAGATTTTATTCATTTTCTAAATTTTATTCATTCCCAAAGGGATTGAAAAAGGCAAAACTCCTATCTATCTTCCTCCAGAATCCGTAGGATTCTCTGCTAGCCTGCCTAAAACTGTTTCACCATTCGAAGATCAGACCCCCAAGAATCGCTATTTCTAAAAATCGTTTTGCTGCTCTCAGACATTAAACAATTAAAGTAATCTTAAAATAAGCTGAGCATTTTAAAGCTATCAAACATCAGGGAAACACCATGAAAATCGAATCAGAAAATGCGTTTCAAGAAAATGCCTGAATTTCGCAAGCATTTTTGCCAACAGTGACTTGAGCAGCTTAGGTTTGAAAAACATAAAAAAAGCGTTACGTGGTGAGAGATTTCATGGTTCAGATCGACATTGCGTGAGA